GTCTCCTGCATTAATAGGCCTGTTCTTTACCACTAGCGCCACCTGGGAAGCATTTGGCAGCGTACCGGATCTTTAGTGGTGGCACGTGACCTCTTAGGGCTTCCCTGATAGCTCAGTTGGTAAAGAATCCCCCTGCAATGCAGGAGACCCCGGTTCGATTCCTGGGTCGGGAAGATCCACTGGAGAAGGGATAGGCTACCCACTCCAGGATTATTGGGCTTCCCTTGTGGCTCAACTGGTAAAGAATCCACCTGCAATGTGGGAAACCTGGGTTTCATCCCTGGGTTGGGAAGATCCTCTGGAGAAGAGAATGGCTACCCACTCCAGTATTCTGGCCTGGAGAATTTCATGGACTGTATAGTCCATGGGATCGCAAAGAGTAGGACACAACTGAGCAACTTTCACTTCCACTTGTGACCTTTTAGTTGCTCCATGTGCGATCCAGTTCTCTGACCAGGGGATCGAACCTGTACTGCCTGCATTGGGAGGCCAGAGTCTTAGCCACTGGACCACCACGGAAGTCCTGAGGCTGTGTGTTGAAGGTGTATGAGGCTGCACTTCATGTGTCTGTGAATAGGCAAAGTGACCTTGGTTCTCTTGACCGCTACAGTGTGGGGTCAGTCTCCTTTACTGTCAGTCTCTTTATGGTCAGTCTCCTTTGTCCACACCGGGACAAAACGACCAGACTCTGGATTAGAAAAGGGCACAGTGGTCAGCTGGTGCAGCTGCCGTCCCCTCTCTGGGCCTCACTTTCCTTACCTGTAAAACAAAGATGTATAAGGAGTGACTTTCAGCCCAGGGTGCATGTCATGGGCACTGCTGAAGTTTCATAATAATAAGAGGTATTCACGACCCTCCCTGGCACCACTGAATCTCAGTCTCTAGAAGGAACCCCTCGAACAAAGTTCCCTCCCAAGAGTTACTGAAACCCAGCCTTGTTAAGACTCCTGAGAGTCCCGTGGACAGCAAGGAGATCAAACCAGTCAATCCTAAAGGAAATCAACCCTGAATGTTCATTGGGAGGACTGATGCTGAAGCTGAAGTTCCAATACTTTGGCCACCTGATGTGAAAAGCTGACTCACTGGAAAAGACACTGATGCTGGGAAAGACTGAGGGCAGGAGGAGAAGGGGGCGACAGAGGATGAGATGGTTGGATGACATCATTGACTCAATGGACATGAGTTTGAGCAAACTCCAGGAGATTGTGAAGGACAGGGAAGCCTGCAGTCCATAGGGTTGTAAAGAGTTGGACACGAATGAGCGATTGAACAACAACAAAGCCTTGATAAGAACAGCAAAGTTGCCCTGGGCTCCAGATCCCAGTTCCTCTCCGTGAATTTGCCAGCCAGCTGGTAGAGCAGTCGTGGACTGATGGGAGTCTCTCTGCAGAGAGGCAGGCTTGTCACACCACAGCCAGTGTGACCCTGGGAGGTAGGGCTGATGTGCCGGCTAAAGACCCTGAATGCAAAAGACGCCAACCTGCAGGGCCCTGGAGGAAAACTGACCCTGTGAAACTGACGAGGATAAACACAAGTTCTGCACTGTGGCAAACCACGCAATCAATGGACACAAGAAACTGGTAACAGCAGGTGCTCCTGGGGAAGGGACCTGCGTGACTTGAGGTGGTAGTCACTGAGAGCGAGCCACATTTCACTGCATCTTGTACCTGCCTTTTGAATGTTGCAAAATCTGAATGTATCAATTCCCTTTAAAAATCACTGGGGAAAAAAAAAATCATTTGCTGAAGCTCAGGATGGGGGAGACGAACCTGACTGGCTAGAACCGGGGTGCGTGCAATCTAGGGCTTTAGTTGACAAGCTCACCCTGAGCAGACACGGTCCGGTGGCTGTCGAAGTCAGGCTGACTTTCAGCTTCACGGTGGACAGGTGGTGTGCTCCTTGGGAGAGGACTGGCCCTCTGCTCTCTGCACAACTCCCTCCCGGTCTGGATCCCTGAGCCCTGGACTGAGCCCCATATTCTGAGCAGTGTCTGGATGGACATGCGAAGCCACATCCAGAAAAAGAAATCAGCAGGGGGAAAGGGGGAGGAGTGGGTGAAGGGTCCTGGATTGTCTGGCCAGGCACGGGAATACTGGGTGGGGCACCATCACTCTACCGTCTTTTTGGCAAAAGGGAGCAGCCATCCTTCCTTTGGACAGAGTTTCAGTTTGAGGTGGGCAGCACTGTGGGCAGATATTTTAGGGGGCTGTTGAAGGAAAACCTTGCTGACCTTAGAGTTCACCACAGACTGTACCGAACTTCCTGCCACAGAACATACTTGAGCTGGGGGGGGAGGGGTGGTGTCAGAACATCTCTGTCAGAGATGATGCTCACAGGGTTCATCCACCAGGACACTGAACTTGGTAGTCTGAGCATCCCCCACACAAGAGGAACACCCCAGATCCCTGGGTACCAGTGCCAGGCCGTATTGGGCAGGTACTGTCTCTCAGAGAGGTCTCTTCTAGGGATGTTGACCTAAAAGCAGTGGAGGTAAGGCCAGGGTGGCCAGCAGCCCAGGGCTGCGGGGTGCCAGGCCCAAACCTGGGCCAACAGGTGCACCCTTTTTATTTTTTTTTTTTCATTTATTTTTATTAGTTGGAGACTAATTACTTTACATCATTGTAGTGGTTTTTGTCATACATTGAAATGAATTAGCCATGGATTTACATGTATTCCCATCCCGGTCCCCCCTCCCACCTCCCTCTCCACCCGATCCCTCTGGGTCTTCCCAGTGCACCAGGCCCGAGCACTTGTCTCATGCACCCAACCTGGGCTGGTGATCTGTTTCACCCTAGATAATATACGTGTTTCGATGCTGTTCTCTTGAAACATCCCACCCTCGCCTTCTCCCAGAGTCCACAAGTCTGTTCTATACATCGGAGTCTCTTTTTCTGTTTTGCACATAGGGTTATCGTTACCATCTTTCTAAATTCCATATATATGTGTTAGTATACTGTAATGGTCTTTATCTTTCTGGCTTACTTCGCTCTGTATAATGGCTCCAGTTTCATCCATCTCATTAGAACTGATTCAAATGAATTCTTTTTAATGGCTGAGTAATATTCCATGGTGTATATGTACCACAGCTTCTTCATCCATTCGTCTGCTGATGGGCATCTAGGTTGCTTCCATGTCCTGGCTATTATAAACAGGGGTGCACCCTTTTTAAAAAACCAACATTCACTGAGTGTTGCCATGTGGTGGCCAGGAGTTTCTCTGGGAATGAACAAGACATGCAGATCTTGGCCTGATGGGTGCATGAGATGTGCTGGAGGGCTGCTCTGCATAAGGGTGCGGGGAATCAGGGGAGGGCTGTCGAGGTGACACCTCACCTGAGCCCTGAATGACATCACCTTGTCCTGACCGTCCAGCCCACAGCGTTCGTGGTGGTGCTCACCCCCAGGGTCAAGAGTGTTTCTGCCGATGCCTGGCTGCCCCTTGTCACCTTTTTCTCTTTCACGGCCAGAAGCCTCTGTTCCTTCCTCCCAAGAAGCGGCCCTAAGATGCCGGGAACTACCTCATGGGACAAGGACAGCTCCAAAGGAATTGGGTGGGTAATAACCACCGATTAGAGAGTGTAGGGTTATTATCTGTGATACTGGGATAATAGCAGTGCCCGCTTTATTCCGTCTTTGTAAGCGTTAAATGCACTTAAGGCATCCAAGCACGCGGCACGCAGTAAGAGCTCAGAAAGTGGCACTTCGCCTCATTCGATGCCAATAAATGTCAAATGTCCCGACCTGGACTCTGAGGAGGCCGGGCCTTCTCCCTGGGCCTGTTTCTCCCACCGTCCTCTCTGGCCGCAGAATAAGGTAAGTTCAGGTACACATCCTCGCCAGTCAGTCCACACTCCCGCGGCCTCGGGGTGGGTTACAGCGAAGGACTCCGAGACCGCAGGAGCTTGGGAGGGGGCGGCGGCGGCGAACCCACTTGCCGGGCTAGCCCACGCCCCACGCCTCGGTGACCACGCCCCATTGCTGACGGCCACGCCCCGGACCCCTCCCCCTGGCCTGGAGTGGGCCCCGCAGGCGTGCTCCTTTAAGGCAGCCTGCTGGCCGAAAGGAGTGTTTCGCCCCCTCCGACGCCGCCAAGGTACCAGCTTCACCTTTAAGGCTGCGCAGGGAGTGCTGGGAAGGCCGGCGGGATGGAGGCGGCGGGACCCGCTCACGGCGGCTGGTCCGGGTGAAGCGGCACCGGAGCCGGAGCCGGAGCCGGAGCCGGAGCCGGAGCCGGAGCGGGAGGCGGGCCCGAGCGGGAGACTGAGGTCCGCGCGGGCCGATCGGGCTGGGGGAAGGGAGCTCGGTGTCGGCCTTAGGGGAGGGGTCGTCTAGGGTGCGGCTCGTGAGAGGAGGACCAGGCCGGCCCGCGGGGAGGGGGCGCGGTCCTGGATGACGGGGTCGGGAGCTTTCAGGGCAGGGGTCCGCAGGTTGTCATGCTGGCCTACGGGGAGGGGTCGTCGTGGGCGAGGCCTGGAGGGGGGAGGGGACGAGGAACCCCGCGATCTTAGCTTCTTAGCGGGAGCATCTCCCCAGGGTCGGCCTGCCAGGAGGAGGGCTCTGTGGCTCGGCCTGCCTGTTGGGGAGGGGGCGCTGCCCGAGGAAGCTGGGACCGGGTCCCTCAGAGGGGTTGGTGTCTCCGCACGGGAGTGAACCCCTCACGATCCCAGTAGGATCGTCCTCTGGCGCCTCCTGTTCTAAGGGAGCCTCCGGGGAAGCCCCGAGAGCTGGTTGCCTAAGCCGGCCTTGAGCCGGTGGTCTGGGCCGAATCCCGGTCCAGCCTCGGGTCGCACCGCATTGCGTCTCCCGGGCCGAGACGAGCAGAGCGCGCCCCCTGTAGGCCGAGCGCGAGCACGGTGCGGGCTGCTCCCTGGGGGGCCGGGCACCCGGGGGATCCAGGCGTCCGGGGGGGCTTAGGTGTTTACCTAATCCGGGGCGGACAGCGGCGTGGCCCCAGGCCCGGCACCCTCTGCCCGCCTTCTCGCCTTCACAGGAGGCACGGCCATGGCCACGATGGTGCTTCCTCGGGAGGAGAAGCTGAGCCAGGATGAGATCGTGCTGGGCACCAAGGCCGTCATCCAAGGGCTAGAGACCCTGCGCGGGGAGCATCGTGCCCTTCTCGCTCCCCTGGTCGCTCATGAAGCTAGTGAGGCCGAGCCAGGCTCACAGGAGCGCTGTGTCCTCCTGCGCCGTTCCCTGGAGGCCATCGAGCTGGGGCTGGGGGAGGCCCAGGTAGCTGCTCCGGAGTGCTGAGGAGGGAGGTCATGGGAGGGATGGAGCCTTCCAGAGAAATCCTGGCCGTGTAGTAACAGAATCAGCATGGAAGGAAGAACCTGTGCCTTGGAGCCTTATGGTAGGATCCGGTAGATATCTGTTGAAGAAATGGATGGGTTTTGGAGACCCTTGCTGGACCTGGGCCCAGGAAGGCTGATCGTCTGGCTTCTCTGCTACCTAGCCGAGACGGCATGGCCTAGGGAAACAAAGAGGAAGTCCTAAGGACCCCTCCCCTCATTTATTCTTTTATTCATTTGTTAACAGGTAAGTTATCTACTGTGCGCCAGGAACTGTGTTAGGTGTCAGGGATACAGGTCCAAGACAGACAAGATCCCTGCCAGGTCTAGTAGGAGAAGAGTCAGAAATACATATATTTATTCAACGTTACAGTGAGTTCTCAAAAAAAAACTTATGGCAGGAGGTCTTATCTATTGGTCAAGCCACACTTCTGAAGGAATGACATTTAAATCAAGACCTGAGTGACAGAACAAAAAAGGAGGAGAGTGAGAGGTTGTGTGTGCAAAGGTCCTGTGGTAGAAAAGATCTCGTTGTGGTGGGAGAACTGAGAAGACCTGTCTGACTGGAGCTTCATGAGGAAAGAGAGAGGGGCAGAAAAGGTCTATGGAGAAGGCAGGGGCCTTATTAGTCTGGGTTTTATTCTTAGGAAGTCAGGAAGCCTTTGGAGGGTTTAAGCAGTCACAGGACACAGCCTGGCTTAGGCTTTAAAAACTCTCTGGCTGAGGTGTCGAGAATGAATGAGGATGGGTCAGGGTACGAGGTAGCAGGTGTTAGGAAGCCACTACTGGAATTCAAATGAGAAATGGCGACTTGGAGTAAAGGGGTGGCCATGAAGGTAGTAAGAAGGGGGTGAGTTCTAGACGTTCTGGAGGTAGGTCCAGCAGGGCCTGGGGATGGACTAAAGGAGAGGGAGAAGGGCAACTCCTAAGTTTGTAGTTTGAGCAAATTAAGAGGAAAAGGGGGACTTCCCTGGTGGTCCAGTGGTTAAGACTCTGCACTCCCAGTGCAGGAGGCGTGGGTTCAATCTCTGATCGGGGAACTAAGATTCCCACATGCTGTGCACAGCAGCCAAGAGATAAAAATATAAAAATAATTAAGTTAAAAAAAAAAAAGAGAGAGTGTGAATGGATCAGGAGTTCTGTTTGGGCCCTCTTAAGGAGCTGAGGCTGCCAGGATGACATGCAGATGGAGATGTCCAGGAGGCACTGGGGTCCCCAAGGAGTCAGACTCTCTGGAAAAGCGTCTTGGCCCACTCAGATCTTGGCTGAGACACTGCCTGGCTCCGTGAGTCCTAGGCAGGTGGTATCATCTTGGTTTCCTTGTTTTTAAAAGAAGGATCACACCATCTGCTGTGTATACTTACAGGCTGTTTAGGGAATTTTTTTAAACAGCTAGCGGTTGTGAAGACACCTGCCACTTGGGTGTTTGCTCGTCTAGAAAGCACATGGTCCTAGATTGCCCAGCCCTCTGGAAGGGCAATGTGTTGGTCATTCACTCCTTGACCAGTTGACTGCCAGGTACAGAGATGAACATACCGAGGCACCCTCCCAGGGCAGGTACAGGTGGACGACAGGATGGCGTGGGGGGTGGGTGAGGTACTCTGCTTTCCTGGGGCTGAGAGCATAAGAGGGAAGAGGCTTCACTGCAGAAATGACCCTGCCCATGAAGGATGGAGAAACGGTAGCGCCTAGTTAAGGCCTCAAGGCAGGAAGCGCCTGGAAGCTCAGGAAAGGAGTCAGGGAGTTGGGGGAGAAGGATGGGAGCTGAGGCCCCTGGATCCCCTTCCCTGCCCCTCTGGTTCCCCAGAAAACCAGGGGTTTAGGACACATACTCCTTTCCTCCCTGGGAGCTGCAGGTGGCCCCTGGGCAGAAGTCAGGATGGGGTCTCTTGGTATCCTTTCAGCCACCTCTCAGGAATCTTTGGAAAAGTGCTAGCCCTGGGCCAGGGGCAGTGATATAGTGGCTCTGGCTGCAGGGCTTGAATACAACTCCTAGGAGAGACAGGAAGAGAGCGGCCAGCTTGCAGAATGGGCAACACCCCAGTGAGTACTCTTCGTGGTCAGAACGACCCAGCAAGGAGCTGGACATCGATGCGGAGGGCTAGCTGGAGGCCCCAGGAAAGGGGATGATGGGATCTTTCAGAGTCTAGCAAAGCCAACCTGGGAGCCCAGGGGTCCCTACTGCTAAAGGAAGGAGCTGGGGATCCCCAAGCCTCCTGGGTTCAGGTCTCAGGCTGTGTGTGGTCTGTTTGAGGCCCTGGAGCAAAACTCCCTCAATGAGAGAACTTGGGACCCTCAGGCTGGCAGCTCCTCCAGGCCTGGCTCTTCTCTGGGCCCCAGGAGGCCCAGGCTGGGCGGGGTGTGGGGGCAAGTGGACAGGGCTCTGACCTCCATCCCGGCTGGCTGCCACAGGTGATCTTGGCGCTCTCAAGCCACCTGGGGGCTGTGGAGTCGGAGAAGCAGAAGCTGCGGGCCCAGGTGCGGCGCTTGGTGCAGGAGAACCAGTGGCTGCGCGAGGAGCTGGCGGGGACGCAGCAGAAGCTGCAGCGCAGCGAGCAGGCCGTGGCCCAGCTCGAGGAGGAGAAGCAGCACTTGCTGTTCATGAGCCAGATCCGCAAGCTGGATGACGACGCCTCCCCCCACGTGAGCCCTGGCGTGGCCACTGCAAGGCCACTGTAGGGTGTGGGGGGTGGTGAGGGGGGCTGGAAGCAGGGGAGGTGGCAGGGAGCAGGTGCGGTTCCCACCTAGCCCGCTGACCCCTGGGCTGCCCACATTCCCTGACACCCTGTCTCCCTCCCCAGGAGGACAAGGGGGATGTCCCCAAAGACTCTCTGGATGACCTGTTCCCCAGTGAGGAGGAGCAGAACCCAGGTGCGGAGGGGTGGCTGGCTCTGGGGGTGGGGAAGGAAGGCTGGGTGAACCGGTCCCTAGGGCCCAGAGGTCACAGGAAACAAGGTCTGAGTGACCACCAGGTTCTTCCCTGCCTCATTTCTGATCATAACATCCCAGCATGAGAGTTTAAAAGGCCGGCTTTACCTGTTGCTTCTCTCATCACCTCAAGTTCCGTGAGAAGCAGGCAGCACAATTCGGAGCCCTGGAGCCACCCGGCCCAGGTGTGATCCCTGACTTGCTTTGCACTCTTTGCTCTGTGACTGCTGGTAGAGTTTCTTTTCTTCTCCGAGCCTCCCCTGAGGGTTAAAGGAGGAGCATGCATAGTGTGGAGCCCCAGGCCAGAGCACTAGGCCAGTGCTGGCCTTGTTCCTCATGTCATGTGCCAATCAGAGCCTCCCTTCTGCAGATGAGGCAGATGCTCCACTTGGGGGTTAGGCGGCTTGCTCTGGGCCACATAGCTTGAATTACTGGAGCTGGGACTCCACCCTCTCTTTCTATGGAGTGACTAGACCCACTCTATAGATGGGGAAACTGACAGAGGGTTACAGTTAGTGATTTGCCCAGGGCCACGTGTGAGATCAAAGCTATCCCCCAGCTCAGGGGATAGTTGGTACATCTGACCTCCTCCCCTTGGCTTTGCAGCCCCTAGCCCTGGAGGAGGTGATGTGGCCGCCCAGCACGGGGGCTATGAAATCCCGGCACGGCTGCGCACCCTGCACAACCTGGTGATCCAATACGCCTCCCAGGGCCGCTACGAGGTGGCCGTGCCCCTCTGCAAGCAGGCCCTGGAGGACCTGGAGAAGACATCAGGCCATGACCACCCGGACGTGGCCACCATGCTGAACATCCTGGCGCTGGTCTACCGGTGAGGCTCCTCCCTGACTGCAGTCATCTGCTGGAGCGCTCCTCCTGGGGATGACAAAGCCCCAGTGTCTGCAATGGGCCAGGACTCGGGTTCTACCAGGCAGCGGGGTGACAGAGACAGAAGGATCTTGTCCCGAGAGAGGGCTGAGCCCACAGGGGGCCTGAGTTACACACGTGAACATGCCTCAGTCTAGTGCGGGAAACAGGCTTGGACGTAACTGGGGAGGGGACAACACACAAGCATGCTGGGGGCTCAGCTTCTCCAACACCGGAGGTTTGAGGAGGGTCTCTGGTGAAAGTTGAGTTTGCCCAAAGTCGTAAGAGGGCTGAAGGTTTTGTTGGCAGAAAGGGCAGCAGGAGCAGAGGCCGTGGGGAACAGACCACACAGAACACTGAGCACGGGCAGTGAGGGTGGGACACGGGGGAGTCCGCTCACACCAAGTACCACATGTGCTGCCTGCGCAGAGCTCCCCAGGTCAGAGGGCAGGGGCTGACCACGCTTCCCAACGCCTGGGTCATACCCCTATCGTGCTCATTCATCAGAGCAGACAGAATGAGTGACCCCAGGGATCTGGGACCGCTAGGAGGAGGGCCTTGGGCTGGAGGATACCATTCATCAGCTCCCACCTGCCCCCAGGGACCAGAACAAGTACAAGGAAGCCGCCCACCTGCTCAATGATGCCCTGGCCATCCGAGAGAAGACCCTGGGCAAGGACCACCCAGCTGTGAGTGAGGCTTCCTCCCCGCCCCTCTGCACTTCCAGGTCCCAGAGACCGGCCAGGCCCAGGGTCATGGAGCCTCTGTTCTCCCCCACTCTAGGTGGCTGCGACACTGAACAACCTGGCAGTCCTGTATGGCAAGCGGGGCAAGTACAAGGAGGCTGAGCCTCTGTGCAAGCGGGCGCTGGAGATCCGGGAGAAGGTGGGGGCAGGAAGGGCAGGGCCAGCCAGCGGGGCTTGGGGGGGCCTCAGCCGGCCCGACCCTGGCCACTGGCCCCTGCTCTGGTCCCAGGTCCTGGGCAAGTTTCATCCAGATGTGGCCAAGCAGCTGAGCAACCTGGCCCTGCTGTGCCAGAACCAGGGCAAAGCCGAGGAGGTGGAATACTACTACCGGCGGGCGCTGGAGATCTATGCCACACGCCTGGGTCCTGACGACCCCAACGTGGCCAAGACCAAGAACAACCTGGTGTCCGGGGCCGGAGGGTCCTGGGGGAGGGGGCGGAGGGGCCTGGAGGAGGGGGCGGAGGGGCGGGAGGAGGGGAAGACTCAGTTCCTTCCCTCCTGCTCACCTCTGGGCCCTGCCCCTCCAGGCCTCCTGCTACCTGAAGCAGGGCAAATACCAGGATGCGGAGGCCCTGTACAAGGAGATCCTCACCCGCGCTCACGAGAAGGAGTTCGGCTCTGTCAGCGGTGAGCAGGGCTGCCGAGGGGCTCATCTGGGGCAGGCCGGCTCAGCCACCAGCACCCACGACAAACACCTTGGCCAGGCAGGCCTCGCACCGGGGTTCTGGCCGGTCCGCAGCCACGTGTGTGCACACGTGAGCACACACACCCAACTCGCACGGCCTCCGGGGGTCTGGATCCGTGTGATGCCCACCCTGTGCACACCTGTGCCCTCAGCTTTGAGCCTCTCCCCCTTGCTCTACTGGGCAACACATGCTCACCGGGAGGGCCTGGCCCAAATGTCTCCCCGTCTGGGAAGCCACCTTCCTGGCCCCTGACGGTCAATCACTTCCTGCTCTCGGACCCCTCAGCCTGGCCCATTGCTCGGGCTGAGCACCATCTCAGACCAGGGTTCCGGGGTCTGCAAGCGTCTGCTCACCGAGACCCCCAGGCATAAGTTCCTCAAGCACAGGCCTGGGCCAGACTCCTCTACTCCAGGAGAGGGTCAGTCATGTTTGGGGTCTGTTTCTTATCCATTCATTCATCCAACGAAGGCCAACCCTGGCCCTTCTCAAGTGTCCCTGATCCCCCACCCAAACCCCAGTCCTGTGTCCAGCCCACCCAGGAGGGGCCTACATGAGAGGCTGTGACAGCCCCTCTCCCCCCGCAGGGGACAACAAGCCCATCTGGATGCACGCAGAGGAGCGGGAGGAGAGCAAGGTAGCCCCCTGGGGCAGGGCTGGGGCGGGTACCCGTGGAGAGAGGGCGAGTCGGGCGGTGTGCAGGGGGGCCTCTCCCAACTCCTGCGTGTGTCTCCCCCAGGATAAGCGCCGGGACAGCACCCCCTACGGGGAATATGGCAGCTGGTACAAGGCCTGTAAAGTAGACAGGTGAGGAGCACAGAGAGGCGGCGGGAGGGGGGGGCGGCATCGTGGGTGGGTGCTGAGGCCAGGCTGGCAATGCTCATTCCACTTAGGCCTGATTCAGAACCCCGATTTAAACTGTTCAGCCTCGGAACACACGCTACTTCTCTGTCAGCTCGTCTTTCGAGGCCCAGGTCACAGGCCACCTGTCCCAGAAAGGCTCTGTCCTCCCAGGAAAACCTGATGATCTCGTTCCCAGGGTTCCCAGCTTTCAGTCCTGGGAGGCGACATCCCACTTAGGGCCCTGAGGGGATCTCCTAAGATAGAGGTGAACCCAGGCAGACCTCGACCAGGGCCCAGCCTGCCGGAGGGGCTCCATTTTGGTTAGCTGGAGGCTCTTCAGTGCCAGCGGGCGGCCGGGTGTCAGGGTGGGCCCTGATTCCTGGGCGCATGGAGCCAGAGACTGCCCTGCTCCCTGTCCACAGCCCGACGGTCAACACCACCCTGCGCAGCTTGGGGGCCCTGTATCGGCGCCAGGGCAAGCTGGAGGCTGCTCACACACTGGAGGACTGTGCCAGCCGCAGCCGCAAGCAGGTAGGGTGACAGGCACGAGGAGCGTGGGCAGGGGCCTGCGTGGCCCAATGTGTGATCCGACTGGGGCCCCTTGCTCGCCTGATACACCCTGCCCTGCCTCAGGGCCTGGACCCCGCGAGCCAGACCAAGGTGGTGGAACTCCTGAAGGAGGGCGGCAGCGGGCGCGGAGACCGCCGTGGCAGCCGAGACGTGCCCGGGGCTGCGGGGGCTCGGTCTGAGGCTGACCTCGAGGAGGCGGGGCCTGCAGCTGAGTGGACCGGGGTGAGTCCAGGGGCTGGCTGGCCCAGGGGGCTGTGTAGCTGGTGAGGCAGAGACAAACCCGTCGGCCTCCCTGCAGGACGGCAGTGGCTCCTTGCGGCGCAGCGGCTCCTTCGGGAAGCTCCGGGATGCCCTGAGGCGCAGCAGTGAGATGCTGGTGAAGAAGCTGCAGGGGGGTGGTCCCCAGGAGCCCCCAAACCCCAGGTGAGCCCCCCATCCCGGTGAGCCTCTCAAGAACCCACCCAACAACCTACCAACCCCAGCTGAACTCCCGACCCAGGGTGATCTCTGTCTCGCTGAAGCCCCATCCCCCACCCTATCCGCCTCCCTTCCACAAGCCTACCTCCCCAGCCCCAACCTGGCCCTTCCCCATCCTCCCTGAGTTCCACCATGGGCAAATCCTGACTGCCCTTTCCCTTCAGGATGAAGCGGGCCAGTTCCCTCAACTTCCTCAACAAGAGTGTGGAAGAGCCAGTCCAGGTACGGGTAGGTAGTGGTCAGCACCCAGCAGCTGAGGCCCCAGCCTCGGGCCTGCATGAGTACCTGCCAAGCTGCTCAAGCCTGCCTGTTCATCCGGCAACACTTCCGTTCCTGTCTTCATCCCAGGCCTGGCTGGACCCTGGGGAAACGTGAGGGGAAGCTGGGTGCTGCCTATGAGCGGCCAGCAGCAAACACAGTGACTGTGGAGGTGGGTGGGAGTGTCAGGGCACCAGGGGCTCTGGCTGGCAGGCCCCTTCCGGCCAGGGAAGCAGACTGGCGGCAGCACACGGCTGAGCCACCTGCCCCTCTGCCCACAGCCTGGAGGCACAGGCCTCTCTGACAGCCGCACCCTCAGCTCCAGCTCCATGGACCTCTCCCGACGAAACTCCCTCGTGGGCTAATCCTGAAGGGGCAGCCGTTTGCCAGAGCCTCCACCGGCACTGTCCCCACCCCTGCCCTGCGCATGGGCCTGCTGCTTGCCCTCCCGTCTCTTCCAAGGACCCCTATCTTTTCTGTTCAATCTCAGGGTAACCTTCTCCCTTTAGCCTGAGCCCTGGAGGCTGGGCCCTCCCGCTCCAGCCCTCCCCCTTATTTATTCCTTCCAGCAGGGCCCCTCTTCCCTAGGTTCAGGGCCAGCAGAGGGGTTGGGCAGGGTCTCCAAGGTAGAGAGACTCAGTGGCCCGCTCTCCGCAGACCCGTGATCCAAGAACACTAAGCACCTGCGGTCCCTTCAGCACCCAGCCCTCCCCCGGCCGTTGCTTCTGTATATATAGAGAAATAAGTTATTGGCCGCACCCCTCCCCTCCGTCCTTGGTACTATCCAGCCTGACCCCACCCTTCTCTAGTGGTACCGCCCAGGCCTTAATCACCCCCATTCCGCGCGGTGGTATCTCCCTGGCTCCACTTCTCAGGGGCGGCGCCTCCCCAAAGGGTTTCCTGGGCCCTCTCGCGTTCCTCCCGGCCTCTTAGGGGTGCGCCCGGACCCGCCATCGCCCCGTGTCCCAGGACGGAAAGCCCGCTCCATACCGGTCCTCTCCCCGCCGGGTCCTGCCCTGCAGCCGGGTCTTATGCACTGCCCCGCCCGCCCCGCCCAGGCTCGGCCTGACCTCGTCCCGGGCACCGCCCACAAGAGCCATCCTGCCACGCCTCCTTCCGCGTCTGCAGCTTCTTGCGAGGGGCAGTGATGGCCCCCCGTGGCAGGAGGGGCAACCCCAGTTGGGAAGTGAGGCGGTCGCTCTCTATTTTCAAATGTTGCTGTAGAAATAAAGACGGTTTGACTCTGAGCCGGGCTTGTTTTGGGACGGAGTCCGAGAGCTCCCAGTGTCTCTACGTCTCTAGGTTGGGAGTGGGGTCGGGAGAGGCTGCGAGTATGAGTGTGTGTGTGTCTGGTTCACATCTGGTTCCGCGCAGCTGGAGCCCAGTAGGCTCCTCCTATCCCGGAACTGTTTGGGGGCCCCACAGATTCAGGAGTTTTTTCTAACAACCTTCATCTCTGAGATTCTATAGATCATAGATTTTGATTGAGCTTTGTCCCTGACCAAGCTATTTGACCTTGGGCGAGTTACTGAGACTCGATTTTTTCACCTATAAAATGTGGGTGACACCTTCCTGGGGTTGTGGCTGGGAGTTAGGAGCGCCAGCACACCAAAAACCCTTTTTTGATGTAAATTAGTAAATGAACTTTTATTAATATTCCCGGAAGCGGGGAGTGTAAGGATGAATACCTCTGTCAGACGTGAAACGCCAATCCGAGCACTAAATTGAGTATCCCAACGCCGGGACGTGGTGAGGCTGCCGAGAGCGGTCCTTAAGCCCAGGTCCGTCTAGGGAGCGAACTACAAGGTCCAGAAGGCAATGCGCGGCGATGAGAGTGCGTGGGCTAGGAGATTCGGGCTCTTCGGTTTACGCCTGCGCGGCGGGAATGAGTTGGACAACGTATGGGGACTACAAGTTCCGAGAAGCAATGCGGCGAGGCCCCAGTCGGGAACTTTTGCGCCTGCGCGTCGCGGGCGGGGCCTCTGGGGCGGAGCGGCCACCATCTTGGAACGGGAGGCGGAGCAGAGCCGACTGGGAGCGACCGAGCGGGCCGCCGCCGCCGCCATGAACCCCGAATAGTGAGTGCGCCCCGCCCGCGCCGTGCGGCGCAGCCTCGATCCCGAGTACGGGACTGTACGCTTACCGGGGTTGTCCGGCCCGGGTCAGGGCTGCGCGGCGCCCCCACATCCGGGTCCCCTCTTCCGCTGACCTCCCCCCCTCACATCCGGGTCCTGCCCCTCCCCCGGGGGCCCCAGGACCCTGACTCGACACCCCGAGTTCTCGCACACGGGCCTGGAGACTGCGACCCCGAGGGGCACCACTTGGAGCCCGAGGCACCGGCACTACCAGGCCTTGTAGGTCAGGTGACCCTGCAGCCCCACTCTTTCCAGGCCTCAGTTTCCCCATCTGCTGCCTTAGAGTGGCGATCGGGGAGCTGACGACAGTTCTGATAGTGGAGCCCGTCACCAGCGTTTCTGGTCTCGGTCCAGACTCGGGCCGTTTAGGTCGGGCGGTACTTTCTGCTCTCCCATCCTCCCGGAATCCGGTTCCTGGAGGCTGGCCCTCTGGGTAACTCGCAAGCAGCCTCTCCCATCCGGGCTGCTGGATCAAAGTGCCTGGTCGCCCCCGGCGGCCGGTCCCCTCCCGCCCTCCCCTCACCTTTGCGCAAGCCCCGGCGCCACTGTCACACCCCTTCCTTTCGCCGTCACCCTGCGGATGAAGTTTACACGAATGTTGCGTTTGCTTCCACCCTTCCAGTGGGATTCTTTTTGTTCCTCAAACTCTCCTCACTTCTTGGTCACTCCCCCTACGGGTAGGTGGCCCACGTTTCTGCCCCGACTTCTCACTGATAGCTTTCCCCAAGTGTCAGTTATCTTCTTCCTCTTCGGCTACTTCCTTTTTGTTCTCCAGATCCAGACTTCACATTTCCTTGGGGAAGGGTGAAGCTCTGAGCTGGATCATAAGGGGAAACAGAGAAGGGTACCAGCAGGCTTTCAATGAGACTTTGGAGTCTGAACCTGGTTTCCAGTATTAAGGTTAACAGCTGTGTCAGTTAGGGCAAGTTGCTTCCGTTCTCTGGCGTGTGGTTTCCTCATTAGTTGGAAATAAAAGCACTCACTTCAGTGGACTACTGTAAGGTGTAAATGAGATGATGAATTTGAAGTACTTAGCACAGGGCCAGGTACCAGTGTAAACTTGATACATTTTGTTGTTGTTCAGTCACTGAGTCATATCCAATTCCTTGTGACCCCATGGACTGCAGCACACCAGGCTTCTCTGTCCTTAACTGTCTCCAAGAGTTTGCTCAGATTCATGTCCACTGAGTCAGTGATGCTATCTAAGCATCATTGCCACTTGTTGACCCTCTCTTAGAGGCCTCATACCAGGCTCTTTACATAGAAATTCAGTTCGTAAGTTCTAGGCTGGGTGCTGGCTTCCACTTCTGGGGCCTCTCCTGCCCAGTCAGGTCCAGGCACAGGGCAGTACAGTAGGGTTTCCCTACTGGACTCATAACCATGGAGTCTATTGGGAACCAGGCTGGGATACCCAACTCTGTCACCTGACTGGTTGTGATCCTTGGCAAGTCACGTTCCTTTCTGTGCTTCTGTTTTCTTCTCTGCAAAGTGGAAATTCAGATGCTTCCCTTTGGGCCAGCTGTGTTATGGGGTGTGGTCAGCCCTTCCCAGCCCAGGACTTGCAGGAGGGTCTTCTGAGTACCTCACTACCCTAATCGGAGGCACACCTCGCAGTGTGGGAGAATGCTGTAGTTGTGACTTCAGGGTGATGGCAGGCAGGCTCCCTGCCTTCCTTCACATCTTCCCATCCTTTCTCTCCAGTGACTACCTGTTTAAGCTGCTTTTGATTGGTGACTCGGGCGTGGGCAAGTCATGCCTGCTTCTACGGTTTGCTGTGAGTAAGAAGCTTCCCATACCATCCATCTAGGGTCCTGGCTGGTGGCTTGAGGGAGGTGGGGCGACACAGAGAACAGTGGTTGCAAGACCCGGGAGACCAGGGGTGAAGGGGCAGGACCTGCCTGCAGCATATCTGACTGAGCACGGGCATAGGGCTGGCAGGTTGGGCTGTGAGAACTGGGGCTCAGCAGTGAGGCACTCAGGTCGGGCAGGGAACCAGAGGGAGGTTTTCCAGATGGGCCTCAGACCTGTCTGCTCAGGCCATCTCCCTGACCCCCGGTCTTCCAGGACGACACATACACAGAGAGCTACATCAGCACCATCGGGGTGGACTTCAAGATCCGAACCATTGAGCTGGATGGCAAAACCATCAAGCTTCAGATCGTGAGTGTGGCTCATCCCAGAGCCCTGGTGCAAAGGCATCTGCCTTCAGAGGGGAGGGGCTCTGGGCACGGAGCCCAGGGCTGACCTGCCCCCTCTCCGACTGCCTTGTAGTGGGACACAGCTGGTCAGGAACGGTTCCGGACCATCACTTCCAGCTACTACCGGGGGGCTCACGGCATCATCGTGGTATACGACGTCACAGACCAGGTAGTCCTGGGCTCACCGTCCCCCCTTTGCCTCCTCAGCCTTGGGTCTTTGGCTTTTGCTTCTTTTTACTGTTCCCGTCCTCTCTTCCTCATGCTGCCCGGAAAGGAGACTGTTCCTGGACTTATTTCACAAGGAGGCAAATAACTGCAGAAATGGATCCTCCTCAGGCAGGCCCTGCTGCAGGGCCTTGGCAGAACCAGGCCTCACCTCCCAGTCAAACCTTATTCAGGCCTTCCACGCACCTCTGTTTCATGGATTAGTCAGCTGATTGGTTGCTGTGCTGGGCTAACGGCCTCCTGGGCAAAGACCCTGTGGAGAAGCAGTGGGAGGGGCTTACACAAGGAAGTAAAGGATCGGTGCACCCTGGGCCCCGTGTGAGGAGAGTGCTGGGAGCCCTGAGTCTGCTGTGGCAACTTTAGTCACACGTCAGTGGCAGCAGTGGTGATGTTAACAGCGAGAAACAGTCCTGCCACGCCTTACAGTTCACAGATTCTGTCACAGCTCTTTGATGCTCATATCATTCCAAAGAGGTCTGTATTATATTCCCATTTCACAGATGAAGAATTGGGTCGGGGTGGTAAGACTTTCTTTTTCCCTGAATCTGCTCAAGTGGCAGAGTCTGAAAGCCCAGGCCTACTGATTCTACCAGCTTTGTTGTTGTCAAACTTTGTTGCCTAATGGGGGTCAGGCCCTGGGGACATGGGGACGCTTACATCAACCCCAGGCCAGGAGGAGTCCCTGCTCCAAGGAGCAGCTGGACTCCGGCTCGCCAGGGACTCGTGCTGCCTCCTGGACAACAAGCTGTGGGTGAACTGTGCTCCACTCAGGCGGAGGTCACGATGGTCCTCTAACTGCCAAATCCTGTGACCTCATTTCAGTTTTTACCATGATTGACCTCTCATGGCTTTTAACTGTCTTCTCTTCCCTCTCCTTGAAAAAGTGAGTGTCTCCAGCTCTCCCACCTCTTGCCGCCCTAGATTCTCTTTCCAGTGACTTTACTGATCCTTCCGGTACTGTCCCCCCACACCCCAGATTTTATGCTTCCTGACAGCCCCCAGCCTCCTGACTCCCCCTGCACAATGCTGACCACCTTGTGGTTTGGCTTTTGCCTTGTGTTTTCTACAACTAAGCAGACATCACCGTGGACCTCCTCTCTGTCCTGCCTTGTGCTGGCACTGTGTCTGTGTTAGTTCTCACCTTCACAGTCTTACCCAGTGAACTAAATGGTGGGGTCCCTGTTTTCCAGATGAGGAAACAGGCTTGGAGATATGTTGAGTTACTTGCCCATACTTTCATAGCCAGGAAAGGCAAAGCCAGTGTTTGTGAACCCAGGGTTCTTTGCTTACCAGCGCATCCTTTCATGCCCCTAAACTGCCGCTAGGCCACCCACAGAGCTTTAGACGGTTTGCAAAACCTAGTGTGTCCTCTGCTGGTCTCACTCTTCCTGAACCAGCTCCTGCGTCCTCATCTTTATAACAGCATCCCTGTTGGCCTGACCGGAAAACTCTTCCCTCCCCCATCCCAGCAGTCGCCGGGCCCCTATGTTCTCCCCCATCGTCTCTCTCAAATCTGTCCCCTCATAATAATAGCAGTGATGAGGATAATAGCAGCTCTTGCTAATTAAGCACTTGTTATGAGACAGGCCTGCATTCATTATCTCATGCTCACAACAGCCCCACCGGGAGGTACTGTTTTATTGAGGTGAGGAAACAGGTTCAGAGAGGTCAGGTGACACATCTAGGGTCATACAGTTAATAGCAGAAGTGGGGCTAAGCCCACGATCGTCTCACTAAATCCTGTGCTCTCACCTGCCTCATTCCCTGGCTCAGGGCACATCTGCTCTTCCCTGGATCATTCCAACCACCTCCCAGTTTGTCTCCATCTTCTTGCTGGTCTGATCTGGCCTCTGCACTCCTTCCAGGACTATCTTCCCAGAACACAGGTGTGCTCCTGGTTGTCCAAGATTTAGCCAGGCTAGGCCCCTTCCCACTTGGGCCTGCCGCCTCTTCCTCTGCTTCCCTGCCCAGGGCCTGAGTCCCAGCAGTTTTCAGCTTTCCCCTCCCCCCAAAGACGCCACACCCTTCCCACCCCATCCCGCCCTGTGACCCTGTGTGTTGTCTCCTCCCCCTGCACCTTCCCTGTCCCCCCACCAGCACCCATACAGGGGTAGTTCACCCCTGCAGGTGCAGGTCAGCTGTAACCTCCCCGAGCTGAGATGGTCCTAGAGTCCCACCAGCTCCTGCCTTCTCTCCCTGCAGCGTTGGTCACCCTGTCTTGGCCTTGTGTGTGTCCTAGTCTGGTCCCCCACTGTCCTGTGAGTGCTTAGGGCTGGGCCCAGGCATGGATCCGTTATTTGAACCCAGTGCCCAGCCCAGGACCCAGCCTGGGACGTGGCAGGAGGTGTACGTCTGAACCCAGTGTGGAATCATCAGACCTTTGGCTCCTAAGAAGGGAAAGCGGCTGTAGCTCAAGCCTGTTCCTAAAAGTTCTGTCCTTTGTCGACATGCCAGGAGTAGGGGGTGGGGCATGGCAGGCTGCCGGGAGAGCCGGGCTGAGTGAGGAGGCTGTTGGTGCCAGAAGTAGGACGCACGTTAGGCCCCGCTCCCAGGGTCCCTGTCTCCCTCTTAGGCCAGGGCCTCCTCTGAGAGGGTCCTCTCCCTGCCGCTGGGCTCCCAGGTTTCCAACCTTAATGGGATTTTAAGGCTACCGTGTGAGTCTTGCTAAGTTACCCTTTGCTTCTGTCTTCCCTCTGGCTTGTCTTTCTTCTGATGCCATGTGCTCCCTATGTGTGGCTAGGCCTTTTCTGTGTCTCAGGGAGACACAAGCAGCTGCAGGAGGAGCTGGCTGGCCCTTGGCCTAAGTCATTTGGGTGTTGGGGCTGTTGGAAGAAGCTGGGCCACCCTGGCCCTGGCTTTTGGGGTCTCAGAGTTGGGCAGGCAGGAGAGCTAAGCCCCGTGGGGCTTCCTCTGGCTTCTTGAGCCCAGCGCGCCTGCCTCTCGGGAGCCCAGGACACCCACCTTCCCCTCAAGGCACTTGTTCTCCAGGCCTAGGGTAGGGGTAGCAGTTGGGAGCAAAATACCTTTTGATCTGGTCCCTCTAGGAATCCTACGCCAACGTGAAGCAGTGGCTCCAGGAGATTGACCGCTACGCCAGCGAGAATGTCAATAAGCTGCTGGTGGGCAACAAGAGTGACCTCACCACCAAGAAGGTGGTGGACAACACCACTGCCAAGGTGAGCGGGCCAGGCCAGGCCGCCGGGCACACCACAGTGAGGGGACCGGGGCCTGCCGCTGCTCACCTCCTCTCCCCTCCTCTCCTCTCCTCTCTCCCCACATCAGGAGTTTGCAGACTCTCTGGGCATCCCCTTCCTGGAGACGAGTGCCAAGAATGCTACCAACGTCGAACAGGCATTCATGACCATGGCTGCTGAGATCAAAAAGCGGATGGGGCCCGGGGCAGCCTCGGGGGGTGAGCGGCCCAACCTCAAGATCGACAGCACCCCTGTGAAGCAGGCTGGTGGTGGCTGTTGCTAGGAAGGGCTCATGGGGTGGGACAGGAGGGGGCACCTTCTCCAGATGATGCCCCTGGAGGGGGCAGGAGGGGCCTCCCTCTCCGGGGCATTTGAATCTGTGGCTTTGGGGGTGTCCTGGGCTCCCCATCTCCCTCTGGCCCATCTGCCTGCCGCCCTGAGCCCCAGGCCCCCCAGGGAGGACACCCAGGACCTGTGGCTGGGGTGGGGGCGCGGGCTTGCTCTGCTGCTGCCTCTCGGGGACTTTAAAAGATACCCCACCACACACCTTTGGGATGAGGGCCCCTCTGTCTGTCTGTCTCCCCGCCCCCCACATATGCTGCAGCGGGTCTCTCCTGACTTCCTCCTTCTCCCCTGCACCTGCCCCGCTTCCCCAAGAGCTGAGGGCCTCCCTGGCCTCTACTGCCCCTGCTTGTAGTCAGCACCTGGGGCCAGGATGGGACCAGGGCATCCAAGGCCCTGGGATCCAGGGCCCTGGGCTGGACCTCAGGACGGGCGTGGGGCCACAGGGGCCCAGCCGCCTACTCTCCCCAGCCCCCCGCCCCTCCCACACTCAGAGCTCCAGCCGTCCAGCTGCGGTGGGGTGTGAGCACATCTAGGGCAGGTGGGCGGGCAGCTGCGCTGGGCTTATGTCTTGAGCCCAGAGGGAGCCTGCTCCTGCCGCCCCCTACCCTGCCAGAGCCAGGCCCATGTGCTGCCTGCCCACCGTGCCCCTTTGTCCCCAAGGCAGGCGGAGGCGGAAGGCCCACTGTGCCAGAGGCTGGGTACCAGCCTTAACCCTCTCTGCCAGCACCCCCTCCTTCCCCCTGAGGCAGCACGTCCGGCTTATTCTCCCCCCGTCCGTCCCTTGGAGCCCGTGAGGGCAGATCCTCACCCCCTGTCGCTACTTCTCTGGGAATGTGGGTGCCACCCAGGGTTTGGGGGGGCCTCTCCACTTCTTCCCTCTCACCCAGGATTCTAGCCCTCCGCCCTCTGACACAGCTTCTTCCTGCAGAAAGACAAACCTTTGGTCTCTACCTGAGAAGCCATGTCCCTCGTGCTGTCTCTTGCCTGTCCCACCTGTGCCCTGCCCTCCAGCTTGTATTTAAGTCCCTGGGCTGCCCCTTGGGGTGCCTCCCCCCATCCCAGGTTCCCTTCTGGTGTCATGTCAGGCATTTTGCAAGGAAAAGCCACTTGGGGAAAGACTTAAAGGACAAAAAAATAAATAAATTTCCATTGGCCCTTGGGTGAGCCGAGGGTTTTTGCAAGGAAGTTGTGGTCTGTGAGTGTGGTCTGTGGTGGGGGCTGCCCTGGGGCGGGGAGATGGAACTGGAGCTCTGGACTTGGTAGACTTCACGGGGGGTCCTGGCTCGGGCTGTGTGTCCTAGGGTTGCTGTTGGAAGTCCTTGACCCAGTTCCTGGAGCTAGGAGAGCTGCCTGCTTGTGCTGCTGTGGTCTGTCCCCACGGGCCCAGCACGGTTCCGGCAGGGAGGGAGGCAGCGGCCATCAGTGAGCACCTGGTGAGCCGCCGCCGACACCCACACAGGCGGCTCGGGATGGGGAGTTGGGCCGCAGCTGGAGCAGGCGGCGGGCCTGCGTTACCGGCCTGCGTCCCCTAAAGCCGCCTGGCTCAGCCCCCTCTCCTGGCTTGTTCTGGGTTCAAGCCAGGTGTGTCTGCCCCCTCGCACGGACGGTGACAAGTGCTTTGCACTTCAGACCTCAGCGCAGCCTCCTGGCCGGCGTGTGAGAACAGTGTGCCCGTCTGAGCGGACCGAGTGTGGCTGCGATGGGTTCGTTGTGTGGTTGCGGGGAGAGGGGGCTATGCCGGGCATGTGCGTCCATGCTTACGTGTCCCTGAGGTTGGGGCGGGGGTGGCGCCCAGGCCGGGCTGGCGGAGGGGCGCACGGAGTCCCGCCCCGCCCGCCCGAGGCTGCTCGCACGGCGGCCCCGCCCCCGGCTCCGCCCCGCCGGCTTCGCGGGCTGGCGAGCGAGGGAGCCGCGGGCGAGGGATCGCAGGATGAGCGATCGGGGCCCGGGCAGCCGGCAGCGGACGCGCCCCCCGAGCCCACCGGCCCGCGCCCCGCGTGCCCCACGGCCCCGCGGCCCCAAACCCGGCCGCGCTGCCCGCGCCCCCCAAGCCCGCGCCCGAGCCCTGCGGGCCATGCCTGGCCGGCCCTAAGCGCGGGCCGGGGGGGCGTCCCCTTGCGCCCGGGCCCCGCGCTGGCGCCCCCCGGGCCGCCGCCCGGCGCGGGGGCCATGGCGTTCACCTTCGCCGCGTTCTGCTACATGCTCACCCTGGTGCTGTGCGCCTCCCTCATCTTCTTTGTCATCTGGCACGTAAGGCCGGGCTGGGGCTGGGGCTGGGGGCGGGGTGGGGGCAGGGGGTGCAAGGAATGGGAGGGGGTCGGATGGATGGTCTCAGGGCCCAGAGAAACTTGGAGCCTTCTCTCCGCTATCGCCCATCAGTCTGCTGCTGTTCGCCCCATGAACACCCCCCATCATCAGCTTCCTTTCCGGGGGGGCCCCCCTTTCTCCGCCGCCCCCGCCTGTCTGTGGATATGTCAGTGGGTCCCTGACCCCCCTCCCCTGCCCCATGCAGCCTTGGGGTGTGAGGCGAAATTCTGGGATTCTTGCTACTTTTCCTCCTCCTGCTTCCCGCCCCCCCTCAACCATTTAGTCGCCCCCGTTGTCCATCGGGCAGTTTGTCTGTCTGCTCTCCCCACCCCCTTTGTGGGTTTTTCCAGCCAGAGTGATGGAGCTGGTTGCTATGGCAACTGCATCTGTTTACAGGACCCACAGATCGCAGAGCCCATTAACCCTTTCCCGTCCCACCACAAGCCCCCACCCCCACCCGGGACCCTGCATCGATTGGCTGGAAGCAGCCCCAGAGATCTAACCAGCTCACCTTGGGTTTCCCTGCCCCCTCCTGTCTGGGCTTCCCCCCACTAGGTTTTCTCCGCACTTCCAGCTTTCCTCCTCTTCCTGCCCCCACTTTCCCCTTTGTCTCCTGTCTCTCTGGGTCTGTCTCTCCCTCTGGCCTTGCCTCACACCTGGCTCTTCGAAATGTCTGTTTCTCATCCCTTATGCTGATTGCCTTTCCTGAGAGAGGGTCCCTCTCCCCCACTCTCTGGGGCCTTCTCCTCCTCTGCCTGTCTCCCTTCCATCACTGCAGAACTGTCAGTCAGCCTCCAGTGTCTTTTTTGGGACCCCTGCCCCCCTCTTTACTGCCCTTTCTTCTCCTCTGTCCCCTGAGGTTTCGGCCACCACCCCATCCCCTTCGCACGGCCTGTGCCTCTTGGCCCTGGCCCGCTTCGCTCCGCATCCCCTGCTTGTACGTCCAGTGCACACCTCCCTGGTCATCGCCTTGTCCCCTGCCAGCCCTCTCTCTAGTCCCCCTTCCGTCCTTCCTTCCCATTGCCTTACCAGCTTCCCCCTGGGTCTCCCCGCTTCATCACTCCCTTCTTTTCCTGGGACCTGCTGCCTGCCTGCTCCACGGTCCTCCCTGGCTCTGGACCCGTCTCTCCCGCGTCCGCCCCTGCTGCCCCGCTGCTGCCCGTCTTTCACACCAGGATTCCGTGGACTCGGACTGCGCCCCTCCTGTGTGAGGAGTGAGCCCCCATAGGCACCTTCAGACATACACGCACTCTGCCGCCCTCTCGCCCCCTGACTGTGCCTTTCTGTGCGCCTCTCAGTTGCGTTTTCTCTCCTCTGCCCCTTCTCCGTTTCTTTCTCTTCCTGCATCTCCCCGGGTCCTTCTTGGTCGCCCTGAGCCTTCTGTCTCATGCCAGGGCCTTGGACTGTCCTGCGGGGTGGTGGCTGGAGTCCTGAGGACGGGAATGAATTGAGCTGGGCACACAGAACTAACCAGCTCCTGGAAGAAAGGCTCCTGGAATTCAAGAAGCCCCTTTCTGGGCCTTTCCCCACCCAGAGGCCTCCCACAGCCTCTGTGGGGATCCCTGTCCTCCGGGGGTCCTCAGAGCAGTCCTCCCTTCAGCACACCTGTGTCCACGCTCCTGAGAACCAGGCTCTGGGTGGCTTTGGGGAAGACTAGGATGAATAAGACTCAGGCTTTGGGGCTCCCAGGCTGGAAAAAAGGGCCCAGGCGTTCTCAAAAAATATTTATTGAGTACATACTACATGTCAGGCACTGTGTTCGCGCAGCTATTTAGCTGGGCAATCATAGCAAGTCTCTTGTCCTGGGTCCATTTCCTCATTGGTAAAGTGGGCTTTCTGTACACGAGGCTGCGTGTATGTAAGTCCAGGGCAAGGCTTGCCAAGGGGTGTGCGGGTGGGGAGAGGAGGTGTGGTCCTCAATCCAAATTGGTAAGAACTAGAACCTTCCAGGGCAGGACCCCAGATCCCACCACAGACCCTGAACCCAGGCCCCACTGGTCGCTAGGCAACCCTGGTGGTGAGTGACGTGTGTCTGCTGTCACCATGGGGGGTTGTTTGTTCCAGGGGGCTGAGTCAGCGCCAGGCAGCCTGGGGGGTGGGAGGCGCGACACCCGCCGCCTGCTGGTGGTGCCAGCTCTGGGGCAGACAGACGGCACCCTTCCGCTCCCTGATGGACCCCATTGCTGTGCCTAACAGGCAGACGGATGCCCAGAGTTGGGGGGGAATTGGGGGAGCTGCTCCAGATGGCCCCAGCTCCCTCCAGGAAGCCCATGTTCTCTCACTTTGAGCCTTATGGGGTCTGGGATGCTTGGGGGGGTGGGCCTGCTGCCTCATCCTGGGGCTGGTGCTGAGGGGAGGGGACCCCAGAAGGCTCCTTTGCCAGCCATCCTCCCAGGCCAGCTCCCCTCACGTCCATCTTGTCATCCTCTGAAGCATCTGCTCCGTGAAGAGTTCCTATCCCAATGTAGACAGTGCCCACCACCAGATGCTCCAACACCCAAAGTCGCCTTAGGCCTCTTTGCTTCTACTTCACTGCCATTCAAGCCCTCTGGAGTCTGGCTTCTACACAGCTCTGGAGCCCATCCACACCTCTGCATCCTCACTGCCCTCTCTTCACTCAGATCACCATGCCTTGCCTACCTGCCCCCAGCACCCAGCCTGCACCCCAAACATCCAAAGTTCCTTGACTGGTCTGGCTTGAGTATAGTCACGTGTTTAAAATTTTAACTCTGGAATCTGAGTGGTTTAGAATCCTGGCTTGCCACTAACTAGCTACGTGGCCTTGGATAAGTCATTTAATGTATCTGTTTCCTCATCTGCAAAATGAAAGAGATAATGCAGCTCCTACATCATCAGGCTGTTGCAAGCATTAAATGAGTTATTAAACATAAAGCCTGTTGGCATAAAGGAAGCATCATGTATGTCTTGGCTGGGACTGTTAGCCAGTATGTACTTCCTGCTTGTTCAATCCTAGAACATCAACCTGACAGCCCCTGCTCTGCTGCTTTCTGTCCCTCAACGGCTCCCATGTACGTCCATGTTCGAGTCCAAAGATCTTGTCCTGCCTTACAAGGCCCCCACATCTGGCATTGCTGACCCCTCCAGCCCATCTTTCACCATTCCCACTCGCCTTACACTTTCACTCTAGCCGCATAGGACCTACAGCTTCCTGAATGTTCCTTGTTCTTCCAAACTTCTGCCACTGTACCTCCTGTTCTGACTGCCCTTCCCCCCATTTGTGCACCAGACAAACACCTGCTCCGAGTCCAGCCTGAACTCCCCATCCCCACCCCATGCTGGATCAGGCACCCACCCCGGGTTCTGTACTCCGCAGCCCTGATCACCCTGGAACGTAGTTCACAGTTGTCCTTCTAAGCCTGGGGTTCCTCCCACACAGGAGCTGGGTCCCAGGTTTCTGGGGCCCAGTGTTCAGCACAGGGCCTGCAGACAAGACACTATCTCTTGGGATGTTTTGGATGGAGGTGTAGTAGACATGTTCTGAAGTGGATATCAGCACACTAGGATTCCATCCCAAACTGTTGTGTGACCTTGGGCCAGGCCCCATCCCTCTGGGCCTCAGTTTCTCTACCTTTGCAGCAAGCTTCATCTGGGTCGATCCCCCTTGTGTGAATCTCACACCAGAGAAGAATGGGTGGGAGGGCCATAAGCTGCTGCCCCAACCCTGACGGGCACACGCCCCTCCCCCAGATCATAGCCTTTGACGAGCTGCGGACTGACTTCAAGAACCCCATCGACCAGGGCAACCCAGCGCGGGCAGTAAGTGATACATGTGCTGTGCCGAGGTGTGTCCGTCCGTCTGTCTTTCCATATGTCGCGGGTGGAGGGCGGCGGGGGGAGGGGAAGACGGGGGTGTGTGTGGGGCGGTGGCGGTGGCCGTGCCCCTTCCCCTTGTCTGTCCCCGCCCCCAGCAAACACCTGGCGCGGGCTCAGGGCTCGGGTTCCTCCTGGAGGGGCAGCCGTTGCCGGGCTCTGGGCCGTTGCCGTGGAGACGCGGGTGAAGATCCCTCCATGGTGACGGTCGCTATGGGGACCGCGCGGCTGCTTCCCTACCGCGCGGCCGAAAACGCCGCAGAACCTGCTCTGGCGCCCCCTTGTGGCCACGTGCAGGGAGTGGGGGGCGTGGGAGTGCTGCGGGGCGCATCCAGTGCCCGCTCCTTCACGTTCACCATTGCTGTCTTTTCCTCCCCTACAGCGCGAGCGTTTAAAAAATATCGAACGCATTTGCTGTCTCCTGAGGAAGGTCAGTGTCAGGGTGAGGGGCAGGAGGCTTCTGACCCAGCGCAGCCCCACTGTGACCCAGAGCCAGGCCTTCCTCCTCTGCGGCCTGTTTGGCCTGATGTGCCATGTGGGAGGGAGTGGAAGGCTAGAAGCCCTTTTAATCCCAGAGGCCATGGTGGGTGGGCCCCTCCCAAGGGCCCTTAAAGCTTGGATCTGTCCTAGCACCTGGCCGCTGACCTCTCAGCCTCACTCCCCAGCTGGTGGTCCCAGAATACTCCATCCACGGCCTCTTCTGTCTGATGTTTCTGTGTGCAGCTGAGTGGGTGACCCTGGGCCTCAACATCCCCCTCCTCTTCTACCACCTTTGGAGGTGAGGGCAGCCGCAGCCTTTGGGAGGGTGAGATGGGGGAGCTGGCAGGATGTGGGTGGAAGCCTTGAGGGTGGGCACTCAGACCCCTTCCTTCCCCCAGGTACTTCCACCGCCCTGCAGATGGCTCTGAGGTCATGTATGACGCCGTCTCCATCATGAATGCTGACATCCTCAACTACTGCCAGAAGGAGTCCTGGTGCAAACTCGCCTTCTACCTGCTCTCCTTCTTCTATTACCTGTACAGGTGAGGCCCTGCCCGCTGCAGTCAGAAGTCAGGGAAGGGATGTGCCAGGCACCATCCCTCCAATCCCAGGGATGGTTGGGCCCCAAGTTCCTGCCCTTTGCCCTTGATAACTGGGGTGCGACAGGGTGGGTGGCCGGTAGCCAGGCGCGCTTGTGACTTGGCTCACTGCCGTGTCTTCCCACAGTATGGTTTATACGTTGGTGAGTTTCTAAGGGGGAAGCCGGCCAGGGAGCGAGCCCAGAACGGACCGGACGCCTGTGCACCCCCAGCCCTGCCCCTGGGCCACAGAGGCCTCAGCCCTGGGGAGGGAGGGGGCACTGGTGCCCCCAGCCTCCTCTCCACCCCCCAAACTGCTGCTGCGGGGACTTCCCGCCTTCAGAGCCCCCTCCCCTTGGACTAGGGCTGGGCAGAGCTCTCAACAGGGGCAGGAGCTCCTCTGCCAGCCTATGGGCATGGCAGTCAGTCCTGGAAGGGGTGGGACTTCTGGCCTTGTCCGCTTCAGGGGGAATTTAGGCCCTGCCAAGGGGCAGGGCTTGACCCTGGAAGTTCTGGGCCGCCCCTGTACCCCCCACCTTGAGGCTCCCCTGCAGGTGGGGGGGTACCCACACCGGGAATGAGCAGGCTCAGCAGGGGGGCAGCCCCACCCCTAGTCTGCCCTCTCTCCCCCAGGCGCTCTCTCCAGACCCCTTCCTGTCCCCACTTGCCCCAGCCCCAGCCTACCCAGTCTCTTGGACCTATTTTCTATGTTGCCTGGAGGAGTACAGCACCCCCCTCCCCGGCCATTTGTGACAAAATATGAATAAACTACTGCAAACACATGGGCCCCAGTTCTGCTCCTAAAAGGCTTAAAGAAGAGATGGGGGGAAAGAGGGGGAACCACCCCACTGGCCTACAGACCCTACTAGGACCTCCTCAGATGCATCAGAGGCCTTCGAGATCTCCTTAGCAGCTGCCTGCTTCCACCTCACTTTCCTAGGCACATATAAATAACTATTTCTGTTGAAACACTTCCATCTGCTTCCGAGGCAGTATCAAGGCCATCAACTCCAGGAAGACCTCCCTGGATCCCCCTCCTTCGAGAAAAGTGGAGGTCCCTGTCCCCTGGCCAATGCAAAGACCGAGAAGTATTAGCAAATCACCCCCACAAGCCCCAGAAACAAGGGTCAAAAAGAACCAAGGAAATCAAATCTTCAATGTATGGAAAAATCAGTGCCAGTGGGGATGGGGGTCACCGGACCAGGTGGAAAGTCAGCCAGTATATGATAAGGGGCTGAAAGGCTGCAGCTCCTAGCGTCAGGTAGAGCTGAAGACGTTGTCGGGGGGCCGGGCCGCCCATGCTGTCGGGTCCCAGGGCTGCTGTTCTCAAAGAGCGCACCTGGGAAAAAGGAGAAAGCTGAAGCTGGGCTGGGAGGAGGAGGCCTGTCCACAGCTCCGACCCCAGGCAAAGAGGGGCCAGCCCCGGACTCACAATGAAGTACATGAGCGCGGACGAAGTCCAGGCCAGTGCCACGTAGTAGCCATCGCTGCCGAAGAGCAGGCCCGAGAGGACGCTGAGGATCATCCTACGGGGGGCAGGGGCAGGAGGGAGGAAGGAAAGACTGGAGACCTCTGAGGGTCCAGGCCTGAGACTGCCTCAGAGCCCAGCCTAGACCCCAGCTACCATCACTGGGGCCCTTTACCCCCAATCTGCAACCCCCTCCCAACCAGGGACCTAGACCCAGAATGAATCGGGAAGGCCAGGACTCAGTCGTCGAACCTGGATCCAAGACCCCCTTCTCCACCCCGGCTCACCCTTCTCCCCTGAGCTCCTGGGTGACTAGTCCATTCCCGACCTGAGCAACACTACCGGGCTCCTGAAAAGAGACACTCCCTCTAATAGAGAAGAGCTGGGTGGGCAGAGGGGGTCCAGAGTCACAGTTCGAGGCTACCACTGGGCAGGCCAGGAACCCCGGGCGGCGGGTGGCTTCCCGCTCGGCCCACAGGTGCTCACCCCACATATTTGTAGCCGCTGTAGGCCAGCAGGTGGAAGGTATTCAGGTCGCTGCGCACGGTGGCCAGGTAGACGCCCAGCAGCAGGGCCAGCACTTCCATCACAACCCACACCAGCGCCGTGCTCGCACACAGGCCCAGCACTTCCGGGGAGAACCTGCGGCCGCGTGGGGGCGGGGGGTGAAGGGAGTCCCGAACCAGCCGTCCTGGGGCAGGGGTGAGACTAGGGGCACGGACGGACTTGGGAGCTGGCACAGATCCCCCAGGGAGGTGAGGAGAGGAGTCAGGAGTGGGGAAGTTGTGGGAATCGGGACGGGTTGGCACTGACCTTTTCTGAATGCCCAGTGCCATCCCAGCCAGCAGCACATAGGTGATGAAGGCCATTGCTGCCAAGAGCCAGAGAGATGCCATCAGCCTGGTTTCCTCAACCAGAGCCCCCACACCCCATCCCTAGGGATTAGAGCCACTGACACCCCCATACTTCCATCCCTGAATATCCCCACATGCTTCACCTCTGCCCTCAGACCCCCAATACCCTGCTTGGGATGCCTTTTCCTGTTCAGGCCTCCTGTTGTGTAAATGCTACCTGACCCTTCTCAGGACCACCAAGCCCTCTCCTATACTAGGAAACTCACCAAAGCTTCCTGCTGTGTCTCAGAAACTACCTCACGTGCCAAAGTCACCTCTGCTATTTTCACAAAAGCTCAGATGGCAGCTGCCTTTTCACAGCAATTTCAACTCATCAGTCCTGTCCTCTGCCCCCTAATAGCCCTAGAACTAATGTACCCACAAGAGGGCATAGTGTCTGGAGTCAGGAAATCAGCTCTACCACCTGTAAGCTGTGTGTCCTCAAAGATGCTCAAACCGCTCTGAACCTTGGCTTCACTGTGTAAAACGGGGATGGCACTTCCTGCCTTACACGGTGACTCTGAGTGGGAAACGGAACGAAGGAGGGAGAGGAACTGTGGCTCTCCCAGGGTATCTGGGCTGTCTGGCTGCCCTTCTGAGAGCCGGCCTGGGCATACTCCCCTCCTCCAGCCATGTCCACCAGGGGCCGGGCCTTATGCAGGGCCTAGATAGACAGGAGTCAGACGCGGAGTCTGCCAGCCACAGCGTGGTGTGGGCGGCCTGACCCATGCCATGTAGACAGGTGGTTGTGGGAACCCAGAGGGAGTGCCCACGTCCTCAGAGGAGGGGATGCTGGAGCAGGCCTTGGAGGACAAGTAGGACAGTGATAACAGCTTATAGTTCCTGTGTGCTTCCCGTGTGCCCAGTGCTGGCTGAGCACACACAGCCCCTCACTGAATGTCCACCACAGTTCTCTGTGGTAGGAACTGTTGTTATTCCAGCTTTTTCAGAAGCGTGAAAGGAGCCCCCTGAGGTCCCATAGCTGGAAGTTGCAGAGCCAGGTCTAAACCTCAGGCTCCATGCTGGGGAGGGACGTGGTCCAGGTCAGGTGGCAGGGAGGTCTCAAAGGGGAGTATCCTGGGAGGATGCCCAGGAAGCGGCTGGTCACCCCACTCTGTCTACCTGGCGTCTAGGGACACCACAAAAGCCACACACAAGATCACCAAGAGCAGATGCTGAACCAACACATGAGCCTGTCTCTTCTCGTTGGTGCCTCAAGGCACAAGTCCGTCTCCCCCTCCCCCCCCCGCCCACATCCCCCAGCCCAAGTCAAAGACTCACTGGGGATATAGAGATCAGGGGCGTTGAGGTCTTGCCGTGGGGGCAGAGGCACATCACGATTATACTGCACTTCCCAGTTCTGGAGGTGGCAGCAGCGGCCAGGCGAGGAGCAGCAGACAAGAGAGCAAAGGAGGGGGCTGAGATCTGGGGGCCAGGCTCTGGGGCAGAAGGCAGGAGGCAAGGGGGCCCATCACAGCTCCTCTGGTTGGCAGCTCACCTGGTGTGTGTAGGGGAAGACCAGCAGCCCTAGCTTCTTGGCCACATAGGCTGTGTCCACAGCGAAAAAATACTTGAGTTTGTTCACAGACACAAAACGGTGCAGCTAGGAGGGAAGAGAGGAGGCTGTGGACGAGCTGCACCCAGAACCTCAGGGTGCTCCTGTCTGCTCCTTCCCTGAGGGCCATTGTGCGGATTAGGTGGGATCCCGTGATGCCCCAGCCCTGGCCAGAAATCCTGCCACCCTTGCCCTGGGGGTGGGCCACACCTCCTTGTTAAACGTGTCCTTCCCATGGGATGCGATGGAGCTGCCATAGGCCATAGCTATGTTGGCCATTGGGTCCCCAAGCAAGTGGTTGACATTGAAGGCCACGTCGGCTCCTGGGGCTGGGTAGCCCCCTGGCTGGCTGGAGTAACCACCGCTTGTGTCATCGAAGAGGGGAGGGGGATCCGGAGCTGCCCGTGCCCTGTGCTTGGAACCTGTGAGTTTGCAGGTGACAGGAATACCAAGCATAAGCCTAAACCACCGCCTCTTCCCCTGGCTGGACAGCCCTGTATGGGTCTTGGGAGCACCAAACAATCAGTGAGGGACACTAGCTGGATGAGGAGTAACTAATCCAGAAAGAACTGTGAGGAGGGATTCTTTTCCAGAGGTGCTAAATGTGGGTAAATAAAGAACTGAGGCAGCCCCTGGAAGTGGTTGCCCACCTGAAGGTTCCTGGGGGCCTCCTCAAGGGAACTGATCTCTGAAGTGAATCTTGGAGACTGAATTTGCTAGATGAAGACAACTGGGACGATATCCCCACATTGAACAAGGGTGGGAAAGGCGACGGCTGGGTAACGCGGAGGCCCTAGGCACTGGTGAGGAACCCTACCAGGGTCATGGCCGGGAAAGGAAGTTTGGGAGGCAGTCCCTATTCATGCCCGAGTCGGACACGGGAGATCCCAGCAGTGCTATCACCGCCCGATCTGATCTCGGGTTTGGGCAGAGAGGGCGAAGTCCGGGACGCGTGGCCGAGCCTTACGGGGCAGGAATCCGAATGACATCCGCCACCCTGGGCAGCAGTCACGGCTGCCCCTCTCCCTCAGGGTGAGCGGGCCGCGCCGCCGACCGTCCTCGGGCGGGTCGGCCCGCGCCCCGCCCGCCCCGCGCCCCACGCACCGTGGGCTCCGTAACCCGAGTGATAAGCCATGGCCCCGATGCTCGCTCTCTCTGAGGGCCCGCTGAGTCGCCTCGTGGTACGAATACTAGCGAGGCAGCTGCTCCGTTCCCTGGGCACCGATCGAGGTTACCGAGAAGCCCGACACGTCCCCGAACTGTCCGACGACAGCAGCCATGTCGGCGGCGTCATCCTCTGCCGCCTGCCATTGGCTCCTCCGCAGCGCTGGCTCGCCCCTCCCCTCTCCCAATTGGCTGCTGGCGCACCTTCGCCGAAGCGGATTCGGCAGTAATCAACTTCCGGGAGGAGGGATAGGCGGAGCTATTGGAGCCTCTCTCGGATTGGATAGTGGGTTTGTTAGTTCGCGGCGGAGCAGCCAATAGATGGGTTAAAGTTATAATTATTTCCGCGCCTGCGCCGTGGGGCAGTTGACGCTCGGCCTGCCACGACTACAACAGGCGGAGGCTGGAGCCCGGGAAGAAAGTTTCACTCGCGAGACGTACTCCAAGAGAGACTGGGACGGTGGAACTGTGATCAAGCTCTGTCCCTCGGGCTTTTGCCTCTCTTCAGTGTTAGCTTTCCTTCCGCGTCCTCCATTCTTCTCCCAGTACTGGCGCCGAGTCCGGGAGAGGTGGCGGTGAGGGGTGCACGGGGAGGCGCTGTCGGTAGGAACTTGGGCTGAGCAGTGACCGCAGGGCCTAGCGAGCTCCGGGATTCTGACTCCTCCTCCCGCCTCCCACCCGTCCTTTCCGCGCGGGTGCTGTCCGTCGTCTGGTGCTGAAATTCCCTACCGCCACTGCTGCCATCCTGCAGACCTCAGGGGCCTGGTGCTGGGCCCGGGTTCTACACACACACACGCACATATACACACACGGGTAGACACACACACACACACCACACACACACACACACACACCCATTACACCGGCCTGGGTTCTCGACACACACACACACACACACACACATACACCCATTGCACCTATTGAAAACCGAGGTATGGGTCTGAAGTCCCAGAAATTGGGTGGTAATAGTTGGAATAGGATCCTACACTAGTCTCGTCCCATCGACTCTCCGGTGGTCCAGAAGATGTGTGAGTGGAGGTGTGCTGTCCCATCGACTCCCCCGTGGTCCAGAAGATGTCAGTGGAGGTGTGCTGGTTCGTCTCCAGAAGCTGCAGTTGAAACTCCTGAGTCATTCTCACCCCTGCAGTCATCTCGAAGTGAGACCCCCAAGCTTCACTCGTGACCTCAGGGACTCCTTTCTCTCATTCCCACCTTTCCTGAAAACAGTCTTCAGGGGTCTCCCTTCTCACAGACGTCCAGCCACCACATCTCCAAAGCAAGATCAGGTCCTCTTTGACCTGCCTCTAGTTAGCTACCCAGTGTCCAGTTACACCAGGTGACCTTCCTGCTCTCCAAACTCAATCCACGTAGTCCATTCACAGTGCCTTTGCCCAGAAGTCCCCTCCACCTGGGATGTCCTTACCCTTCACATCCACCTGTCTGAAACCTAATTATCCTTTAAGAGTCAGTTCAACTGTGCCTCTCAGAGAGACAGAGTGAAGAGTCCTGACCAGGCTTGGAATGGATGCTGGAGGCCAGGCTACAGGCTCCCTCTGACTGCAGTAGTTTGCCCTGGATGTAAATTCCATGAGAATAGGACCTGTGTCATTCTCCACTCCTACACTTGTCTTCACAATGCTTATGAATACTTCACAGTACTTGCATATAGAAGACACCAATAAACATGTGCACCCAATAAATTAAAAAAAAATAAATGGATGAAATTCTGATTCAGTCCTTTCCTCTCTACCACTCCAGTTACTTAATCTTTAAATGTGTAGGGGTGTTGAACGGAATGATCTTTGAGTTGCTGTTTGGGTAAAAAAAAAATCACAAAACAAAATCCACCCAGCATTGCAGCTCCTTGTGTCCTACCCACTGACTGTCTACCTTGGGGCCTAGGCTCTGACTCAGGGTCACATGTGAAGGTCTGAGGCCCCTGACGGTCAGGGGGCAGCACTGGGGCCACCAGTACCTGGGAGGGAGATCCTCTCGTGCAGGACAAATCCCATGCCCCTGTTCCACATGATGAATGTGCCTTGAATCCAACACCTTCCTGTGCCCATTTCACAGGTGGGAAAACTGAGGTTGGCGTGGAGGGTGCAAACTCAAGGTCACAAAGCCTAGGGCCCGGGTGTCCTGGCCTCCTGCTTGCCTACTGTTAAGTAGAGCCCAGCGCCTCTGTCCAGCTAATGAGGCTCACCACAGCATTCAGGTCTTTAACTGTCCCTTGTACCACCGCCACAATGGAGGCTTCAGAGACGGTGTCTGGGTGGGCTAAGGCCTGGGCCTACTCCTCAGAGATAGGACCCCGCGGGCACCCACCCATCCACCCTCGAGATTCAATTTACAGCGGGGGTAACTCAAGCCCCAGAAAGCAAGGACTCGTCCAAGGTCGCAACCGCGAGCGCGGCAGGAGGGGAACCCAGGCGTCCGTCCGCCCAGCCTGGGCTTCTCGAGGGCGGGGGCAGTGCCCGCGGTGCCAGGCGCTGCCGGCGGCGCCGCGGGTGCCGTGGGGGCGGGGTCAGCGGAGGGCGGGGCGCCGGGCACCGCGGCCGCCAACGCCGCCGCCGCTGCCGCCGCCGCCGCCACTGCCGCCGCGCTCGAGCTCCGCGCACTCCCTCCGCGGCCGCTGAGCCGAGCGGACGCCCTCCGGGGCCACGCCGCAGCCCTCCGCGCTCCCCCCTATCATGCCCCGGGCCCGGGCGGGGGCCGCCCAAGCAGCCAGGACACCATGCCCGAGGACGGCAGTGGCGACAGCGGGGACGTGCCCGAGCTCATCCCGGACTGCGAGCCGCTGCGGGAGGAGGTACCGGCGCCGGGTGAAGGGGGGCCAGAGCTGGGGCTACAGAGGGGAGAGGGCGACAAGAGCCGGGGCGATCCCCAGAGCAGGGGCTGCAGAGGGAAGTCTGGAGCCCCTTTGGTCAATGACGTCATTGGGGTAACCTGCATCCTGAGAGGGGTCTCGGGGCCTAGGGGCCCGCGTGGGGGTCGGGTGGGGCGGCTGGGAAGGGATATGGGGAACAACTCCCGCCCCCGACGCCCCCTCATCCAGCCTCGCCCTCCTGTGACGTCAGCACCAGGCCCCTGCGCGTCCCCGTTCTGCAGCGCTGCCCCGCTTCCCCGGAGCCCACGGGTCAGGCCCCCGGCCCGGCCCGCCGTTCTTGAGGTGCCCGGGCGGAGCCTGCAATGCAGCAGCAGTAGCAGGGACTTGGGGGGGCGGGGAGCAGAGGGAGGAGGGGAGAGGAAGGGAGGTGGCCTCTGGGTACCCCTTCTCCCTCTCCCAGAGGTGAGGACCCAGGGCCCATCCTGCTGGTTGGGACCCTCAGAATGGCCCCTCCTCAGTCCTAAGGAGGAAGAGGATCTGCAGGGGTGTGGGGCCCAGTGAGGGGTGTCGGGGTGATAGGCAGTGAGTGGATCTATGTGTGTGTTTGGGTGAATGTAGGGTGATTGTGGGTGTGTGGATGTCAGTGGGTGCTCCCCACACCTTGAATGGGACATATGTGCCCTATAGTCAGGTGAGGGACTGGGGGGCCCCGTGGCTTGGGTGAAGTGCTAATGAGTGAGTGCGTGTGAGTGCAGCCCTGTTGTGGGTGGGTCTCTCCGAGTAGAGTCTGTAGGGTGTGGGTGTCAGGTTGCAGTAGGGTAGGGATGGGGGATGTGCACTGTGATAGGTAAGGTGTGTCCCTGGGCTTCAGTGAGTGTGTAACATGTATGTGCCTCTGTGTGTCCTGTGGTGGGTGGACCTGGGGGAGGGGGGAGGGGCAAGTGCACACACACCTTGGCACCATGTCACCATGGGGAAGGGGGTTGTGCCCTGGGTACTGGTGAGGGGCTGGTGTGTGTCGGATAAACAGGCAGCGTTCACATTCCTGGTGGGTGGATTTTTCGATGAACTTGGGGTGGGGTGGATCCTGGGGGTGGATGAGGGTATGAGCACCTGACTGCCCCTGCGGGTCGGGGGAGTGGTATCGCACCTGTGGTGGGCTGGGGACGCTTCCTCTCCTCTTGGGTCTCTCGGAGCCTGGTGGGACTGTGACAGACACGGTGGTCCCTTAACCCCACCTATGCTGTTTCCTCCAGACCGTCTCTTCCTTCTTCCCCTTTTCACCCCTTCTGTCCTCCCTCTTTTCTCTCCTTGCATCTGGGATAAGGTGGGGGCCAGGCTGGAAGCTCTGCCAGGGAGGGTGTGCCCGAGTCCCTGGGCCAGGGAGTGGTCCCTCCTGCCCAGCAGCTGTGTCCCACCCCCTCCCTCAGCGCAGATGGGGAGTGGAGGACGGTGCTCCATCTGCTCCCCTCCCTCCAGACTCACACCTCTCTCTCTTCCTCTCTCATTTACTTAAAAGCCTCTCCCAAGTCTCCTGCCATCCCGAGTTAGACCAATGGACCAGAGGGATTGCAGGGTAATGGTAATAATATTTATTCCATTGGCCAGACCCTATGCTAAGATCTTCACACATAGGATCTCCTTGACTCGTCACAACCCCAGTTGACTGTAAACAACCCCAATTTACAGATGAGGAAACTGAGGTCCAAAGAGGATGAGGGGACTGGCCAAGTCATACAGTCAATGGTGGAGCCAGCACCCAGTCCTGGGCTCCTAAGACCACCCCTAGGCTCTTCACCCCTAGGACCCCCTGCCACCCTGGCTTCCCACACCGCCAGGTCCAGGAATCAGTGCCCAGAGAGGGCAAGGATCTGGCCGCAATCACACAGCAAATCGGGAGCGAAGTCAGGACCAGAAGGCAATTTTCTCAACAGCCAGTCATTGGGGGGCTGGAGTATCCTTCCCTCTTGTGGCAGAGATGAATCTGTTTTCTCCTACATGCCTGAGAGGTGACAGGGCAGGGTGGAGGCCAGGGTCAGGGCACACAGTTTGAGTCCTGCAGTTCTCCTGTGAGTTGGCTAGAGGGGTGAGGCCAGGAGCGAGTTCCTCCTTCGCTCAGAGCCTCCGGTTCCTCCTCTGGACAGTGGGACGCGAAGCCCCACCCCCTCACGGGGCTGACCGCGGCCTCCCCTCCCTCTGCCCCTCCTGCAGCAGCGGCCCCTGAAGCAGTCCCTGGGAAGCTCCTTGTGCCGCGAGTCGCACTGGAAGTGCCTGCTTCTCACCCTGCTCATCCACGCCTGCGGCGCCGTGGTGGCCTGGTGTCGCCTGGCCACGGTGCCCCGGCTGGTCCTGGGGCCGGAGGCCGCCCTGGCCCGCGGAGGCGGGGGGCCGCCGCCCACCTACCCGGCCAGCCCCTGCTCCGACGGCTACCTGTACATCCCCCTGGCCTTCGTCTCGCTCCTCTACCTCCTCTACCTGGCCGAGTGCTGGCACTGTCACGTGCGGTCCTGCCAGGCGCCGCGCACCGACGCCAACACCGTGCTCGCCCTGATCCGCCGGCTGCAGCAGGCGCCGCCCTGCGTCTGGTGGAAGGCCACCAGCTACCACTACGTGCGGCGCACCCGCCAGATCACCCGCTACCGCAACGGCGACGCCTACACCACCACGCAGGTCTACCACGAGCGGGCCGACAGCCGCACGGCGCGGGGCGAGTTCGACTACTCGGCGCACGGCGTCCGCGACGTCTCCAAGGAGCTCGTGGGCCTGGCCGACCACGCGGCCACACGGCTGCGCTTCACCAAGTGCTTCAGCTTCGGCAGCGCCGAGGCCGAGGCCTCGTACCTCACCCAGCGGGCCCGCTTCTTCAGCGCCAACGAGGGCCTGGACGACTACCTGGAGGCCCGCGAGGGCATGCACCTGAAGGACGTGGACTTCCGCGAGTCCCTCATGGTGTTCGCCGACCCGCGCAGCCCGCCCTGGTACGCGCGAGCCTGGGTCTTCTGGCTGGTGTCGGCGGCCACGCTGTCCTGGCCGCTGCGCGTGGTGGCGGCCTACGGCACGGCCCACGTCCACTACCAGGTGGAGAAGCTCTTCGGCGCCAGCTCGCCGCCGCCCGGCGCCGTGCCCAGCGGGCCCCCGCTCTCCCGAGTGGCCACGGTGGACTTCACCGAGCTGGAGTGGCACATCTGCTCCAACCGGCAGCTGGTGCCCAGCTACTCGGAGGCCGTGGTCATGGGCGCCGGCTCTGGCGCCTACCTCCGGGGCTGCCAGCGCTGCCGCCGCTCGGTCAGCAGCAACTCGCTGCCCCCCGCCAGGCCCAGCGGGCCCCGTCTGCCTTTCAGCCGCAGCCGCCTCTCGCTGGGAGCCGGGGGTCGGGCCACCCCGGGGGTCTTCCGAAGCCTGAGCGGGGGGCCGCTGGGGCGCCGCGGAGAGGACACAGAACCCCTGGAAAGCCCTCCGTGCTATGAGGACGCCCTTTACTTCCCGGTGCTCATCGTCCACGGTGACAGCGGCTGCCAGGGGGACGGTCAGGGTGCTCTCTGAGACCCACGTGGCCCCCAGACTGGCCCTCTCCCCACCATCCCACCCCAGGAGCTTCCACACCTGAGTGATTGCCATCCAAAACAGGAGGGAAAACAGACCAGCACACCAGGGATGGGGGTGGGGGTGGAGCCCTTAGACAGACTAACCCTTCAGTGGCCCCTGGTCCTCTGGGGGGCAGAGGGACACCCCCGCAGTTGAGTCTAGGACCGTCCCAGCATGGCTCCCCTCCACCGCCACCACTACCACCGTGTCCCACCCCCTGCGATGGCAGGTGATCTAGCTCGGGGGGCCTCCCAGACTGGGCAGGAAAGGAAGTTTCCAGAAAACCTGGGCTGGGGGAGGAGTCCTGGGGACAGCAGTTGCCCGCCGCAGAGGGCCGGCTGCCTGTGGACCCTTCCCGGCACGGTGGAGGTCATGTTGGGGGCCCTCAAGCAACCCAGAAGCACAAATTGGTGGTTTGGGGCCACGCCCAGCTGGGCTGGCATCCACAAACCTGGAGAGTTGGCTATGGCAGCACCACGGCCTCGGCCCCGCTCCCCTCCCAAGGCCCCTGTCCCCTTCCCCTGACAGGCCTCTGCTCAGGGCCAGCCCCTGATCAGACCCTGCAGCACAGCCCCTCTACCGGGAGCCTGGTTCTTGGAGCACAATCCTGTTCCACTCACCCCACCTCCCTGTTTTCCCTGGCGCACCCGTCCCCTGCACCCAGTCACCCCTATAACCTGGGGTTCCTCCTCAGGGCCCCACCTTGAGTCCACCTTCCCTAGTCTCCGCTCCTGGCCCCTGACATCTGTGTCCACCTCTCAGCCACGCACACACCTCTCATCGCCCCCAACTTCTCTGCTCTTCGCCTTCCCGATGACCCAAGGGGCTCGGGGCTGCAGGGCATCCGAGGGGCCTCAGCCCCGGCCACAGCCTCTTGGACGATGCCCTTGCTCTGCCAGGGAAGCTCCTGCTTCCTCCATCACTGGGGCCTGGCCCAGGGGACACCGTCCCTCCCCCAGGGAGGCGAGAGTAGTCCCTTCCCTTCTAACTGGGGCTTCCACCCCCTCTCAGGAGCCGGTGGGGGAGGGAGAAGGCAGAGAAGATGCAGATAAAATAAAAGGTATGAAATGGAAGGTCTTCTCTCGTGCGTTTCTGGGTGGTGGGTTCAAGGCCACCACAACAAACACAGTGAGCCAGGCAGGGTCTGGGTGGGGGGTAGTGTGCCAGGGGTGGTGGTGGCTGCAGCGCCCCAGGAGAGGGTGAGCTCCCTGCCCGGGCTAGGGCCTCTGAGATTGAGGTTTGCGTTGCTCTGAGTAGCTGACTCCAATCGACTGGCATCTGGGTCATTTCCAGGGGACTATCCAAGTGGCCCCTCTTCCAGCCCAGCAGGGGTTTCCATTCTGCTGCTGGGTGTGCTGAAGACTAAGGACGGGGTGCTGTGCTTAGTCGCTCAGTCATGCCCGACTCTTTGTGACCCCATGGACTGTAGCCCACCAGGCTCCTCTGTCCATGGGATTCTCCAGGCAAGAATACTGGAGTGGGTTGCAATGCCCTCCTCCAGGGGATCTTCCCTACCCAGGGATCAAACCCGCGTCTCCTGCATCTCCCAGATTGGCAGGTGGATCCTTTATCACTGAGCCACCTGGGAAGCCCAGATAAAGGACAGCCTTTTCTAGTCCATGCAAAGGCACCATGAGAGTGCTAGGGGTGGGTTCGATTCTCCCAGGCAGAGATGGGTGGAGGGTGTTCTGGACAGTGGGAGCTACCCACACAAAGGCCTGGCTGCCAGGCATGAAGTAGGGGTCGAAGCAGAGCTGTGGAAGAGGTGGCTGAGCTTTCAACATCAATGACAAGAATTTGCCAGTAAACTGGGGCAACCATGGAAGGTGGTCGAGCAGGAAGTGATAAGCTCAGTGCACGTTAGATTTTTAGCAAAAGTCTGGCTGCCTGCTGTTCACCTGGGGAGGGTGAAGTTAGAGACCAGAGCTTTCCTCATACATCAGCCCACTGTCTCGCAGGAAGTGAAGTCCATCCTTTGTTCAGAAGCAACTTAGATGGAAAATTCCACGGTCCCCAAACATTCAACCAGGCTGCAGCAGGTTGTGGGCCAATGTGTAGATCCATCTCCCCCGAATTGTCCCCCTCTTCCATTGTCCTGCTCTAACATCAGCCACCAACGGCCCACTAGTCACTATCCATTCTCCTCCCCTCCTCAACATCAGAACCTCAGTTTTACTTTAGATGGCAATGAGCTCAGCTAAAAAGCAACATTTCCAGCCTCCCTTGCACATATGGTGTGGCTGTGTGACTTAATTTTAGGGTATGAGATATAAGGAGAAGATCTTGCAAGGAATTTCTAAAAATGCTCCTCGAAATGGAAACAATATTGGTGAAGGCTAGTTCTGTCCTCTCTGCTTCATCCTGCCTTCAGCCTGGAAGGCAGATGTGATCATTGGAACTCCAGTAGCTACTTTGGATTAGGAGGTTACCTTGAGAGTTGGAGCCCTGTGCTGAGGATAATAGAACAAAATAGAACAAAAAGGCCCTGGGGAAGTGCCGCTGTTGCTGCTTGTGTTGAGTCCAGAACCGCAGCCGGACATGGGGCTAGAGGACGAGCAAAGGATGCTGACCAGCTCTGGAGATCCCAAGGAGGAGGAAGAAGAGGAGGAGGAGTTAGTGGATCCTCTAAAAACAGTGAGAGAGCAATGCAAGCAGCTGGAGAAATGTGTAAAGGCTCGGGAGCGGCTAGAGCTGTGATGATTGTGTATCCTCCAGGTCACAGACGGAGGAGGACCGCACAGAGTAGCTCTTGACTTCTTGCATGCAAGAGACCACTGTGTGGCCCACAAACTGTTTAACAGCTTGAAATAAGTGTGCAGATTTGTTCACCCCAGCCTTCATCACCTGTGCATTGGGATATTTCCTCATGGTTTTGAACATGATGTTTACTTGTGTAACTAAGTTCATGTGAATCTCAAGGATTTTGGCTTAGGCAAGTAATTTCTGTGTAATTATCAGTGATTTCATCTTAATAAAGTCCAGTGATCAGCAAATAAATAAATAAATAAAAGACCCTGGGAAGACAACAATTCCCTGGTTGTCCAGTGGTTAGGATTCCAAGCTTCCCTGGCTGGGGAACTAGGATCCTGCATGCTACATGGTGTGGCCAAAAAAAAAACCAACCAGACAAAAAAAGACCCTGGGCTTCTGATGACATCATAGGATGTCCATATCATCCCTGGGTTGCCTATTTCCAGACCCTCTCAGTGAAAAAAAGAAGTAAACTGTTAGTTTGTTTAAGTAAACTGTTAGTTTGTTTTTTCTTGTCTCTATTACTAGCAGCTTACATTATTGTCTATCTACTGCTGCAACACAGATTACACTAAAACTTAGTGTTTTAAAACATCAATAATCAGTCTTCTCTGGTGGCTCAGTGGTAAAGAATCCACCTGCCAATGCAGGAGATATGGGTTTGATCCCTGGTCTGGGAAGATCCCACATGCCATGGAGCAACCAAGCCCATGCGCCACAACTATTGAGCCTGTGCTCTAGAGCCCAGGAGCTGCAACTGCTGAGCCCGTGTGCCGCAGCCGCTGCAGCCCGCCCGCCCTAAAGCCTGCACTGCAACAAGAGAAGCCAGCACAATGAGAAGCCTGCACACCGAAAAAGGAGAGTAGCCTGGCTCACCGCAGCTAGAGGAAAGCCGGCGCAGCAAGGAAGACCCAGCACAGCCAAAAATAAATAGACAAAATTATTTTTAAAAAATCAATAGTCATTATTATCTCTCCTGATTTCTGTGGGTCACACATTCAGACACGGCACAATGAGGATGGTATTCCATGACGTCTATGGCCTGCTGGAAGAATCAAAAGCCAGGAGTGGAATCATCTGAAAGAACATTCACACACGTGTCTGGCAGTTGATGCTGGCTGATGGCTGAGGGTCTAATTAGGGCTATTGGCTGGAACACCCAAAGAGGGCATCTCCAAACTTGGGCTTCCTTATAGCTTGGCGGCTAGGGTCCAAGGACAAATTCACCAAGAGAGTGGAGGCTGTATTGCTCTTTGCCATCTCGCCTCCGAAGTCAAATACATCACTTCTGCCCTTTTCTATCGGTTAAACCTGTTTCAAAGGTCCACCCAGTTTCAAAGGGAGGGAATGTAAGACCCTCATCTCTCCATGGAGGCTCGTCACCATCACATTGTAAGATTAGCATGTGAGGTGGGAGGTATATTAGCGGCCATCTTCAAAAATGCAATCGAGGGACTTTCCTGGTGCTCAAGTTGCTAAGATGCTGTGCTTCCAATGCAGGGGGCACAGATTCAATCCCTGGTCAGGGAGCTAGATCCCACATGCTGTGATAAAGACTGAAGATCCCATGTGCTGCTGCTGCTAAGTCGCTTCAGTCGTGTCCGACTCTGTGTGACCCCATAGATGACAGCCCACCAGGCTCCCCTGTCCCTCGGATTCTCCAGGCAAGAACACTAGAGTGGGTTGCCATTTCCTTGTCCAATGCATGAAAGTGAAAAGGGAAAGTGAAGTCGCTCCGTCATGTCTGACTCTTAGCGACCCCATGGACTGTAGCCTACCAGGATCCTCCGTCCATGGGATTTTCCAGGCAAGAGTACTGGAGTGGTTTGCCATTTCCTTCTCCATATGCTGCAACTAAGACCAAATAAATAAATTAAAAAAAATGCAATCAGCCAATGACTCAAACACCATTCCTAACCAATCAATGTCTATAGACTGGTCTGCAAAATGAGCACCAACAGATATTTTTTTTTTGGCCACACCTCGAAGCCTTTGGGTTGACCAGGAATTGAACCCAGGCTCCCCAGCAGTGAAAGTGCTGAGTCCTAACCCCTGGACTGCGAGGGAATTCCTGAACACCAACCATTTTATAATGCTTGTTTCAGGGAGAAGGTGGTGGTATATGAGATGTGGGCCTACTGGGGGCAGAATGACATGCTTCGGTCATTTGTTGGGACCCTCTGGCCTACAGCAGATTAAATACGGACTCAAACTCTTCAGTGCCTCCCATCGAGATTCTCCCATCGAGAATCTATTTCCTCGCTCTTTGGATCTAGGCTGGCCTATGACTTGCCTTGACCAATAGATTGTGGCAGAAGTCAGGCTGCACCACTTTGGAGGCCGGGCTCTTAGAGGGCTTGCAGCTTCCACCTACACTCTCCTGGAGCCCGGAGACCACCATACAGTGAAGGTGCCCAGCCTGACCTCCTGACAGGTGAAGCAGGTGAACGGTCACACACCCCGGCCAAGGGCCAGCATCAGCTTCCAGATAGACGAGTGAGGTCATTTCAAACAGGTCAGCCCCAGTGGAGCCGCAGAGGACTGTAGCCCCAAGAATGCCCCCTAGCTGAGACTAGCAGACGAACCAATGAGCTGATCCCAGCCCACACTGTTGACCTACAGGCTGGTGAGAAATAAGGAATCCTTGTTTCAAGCCACTACGTTCTGGAGTGGTTTGTTGCATGCAGTGAATAACTGATACAGGCTCTGAACCCAGTTCCATCTCTCTTTCTTTCTAGTTTTTGGTCACACCATGCAAGATCTTAATTCTCCCA